GCTGTGTTGCCCAGGCTAGTCTCAAACTCCTGGCTTCAGCCTCCCAAAGTTCTGGGATTCCAGATGTGGGCCACCGTGCCCGGCCATTCTGTGCTATTTAATTGGTGTAAATATAATTATCAGTATTGTTGGGTTTAAGTCTACCGTGTTTTGCTATATATGTTCCATTTGTCTTGTTTTTTCCTTTTCTTTTGAATTACTTAGCAAATACCATGTTCTCTTTTGACTTAGTAGTTCTCTCTTTCTCTCCCTTTCTCTCTTTCTCTCCTTTTCTCCTTCTTACCCTTTAATGGTCACTCAAAGGTAGCTGTTTTCAAAGTGTGGACCCCAGCACCTCCAGAATCCCAGAGATCCCATCTCTTCAATGAAACTTAGCCCACCTATCAATGAAATTTGCAAAAATGTAAAACAGTGCTGCTGTTCTCAACTAAGCTAGTTTTTAATTCTTTTGGAAATTGTGGCTTTTTAAATTTATTTTTTTTATATATATATAGAAACGGAGTCTTGCTCTGTTGCCCAGGCTGGAGTGCAGTGGTGTGATCTTGGCTCACCACAACCTCCTCCGCCTCCCAGGTTCAAGTGATTCTCCTGCTTCAGCCTCCTAAGTAGCTGGGACTACAGGTGTGCGCCACCATTCCCAGCTAATTTTTGTATTTTTAGTAGAGATGGGGTTTCACTATGTTGGCCAGGTTGGTCTCGAACTCCTGAACTCATGATCCACCCACCTCAGCCTCCCAAAGTACTAGGATTACAGGCAAGCCATCGAAAATGTTATCTATGTTAACATGCTCTGAGTTTTTAATATTTCCTAAGTGAATTAATGTGTATTTTAAAGATTGCTAAGATTTAATTTTTAACGTGGTATATGTTGATAGCTATAACCCAATTTTTAAGAGTATAGAGTGGTACAAGGACCAAAAAGCTTGGGAGCCATATCTCTAGGCTTTAAAATTACATCTTTGTCTGTTCATATTTACTTTTAAAGATACTACTTAATTAATTAATTTTTTTTTTTTATTGAGACCAAGTCTTGCTCTGTTGCCCAGGCTGTAGTGTAGTCTCGTGGTCATAACTCAATGCAGCCTCACACTCCTGGGCTCAAGCGATCTACCTGCATTGGCCTCCCAAAGCGCTAACATTACAGGTATATGCCACCACTATACTGTTTCTTACTTTTTTTTTTTTTTTTTTTTTGAGATGGAGTTTCAGTCTGTTGCCCAGGCTGGAGTGCAATGGTGCAGTCTTGGCTCACTGCAACCTCCACCTCCCTGGTTCAAGTGATTCTCCTGCTTCAGCCTCCTGAGTAGCTGGGACTACAGGAACCCACCACCACAACTGGCTAATTTTTTTTTTTTTTTGAGACAGTCTTGCTTTGTCACCCAGGCTAGAGTGCAGTGGCATGATCTCAGCTCACTGCCAGCTCCGCCTCCCGGGTTCACGCCATTCTCCTGCCTCAGCCTCCCAAGTAGCTGAGACTACAGGCGCCCACCACCACACCCGGCTAAGTTGTTGTATTTTTAGAAGAGATGGGGTTTCACCGTGTTAGCCAGGATGGTCTCGATCTCCTGACCTCGTGATCCGCCCGCCTCCCAAAATGCTGGGATTATAGGCGTATAAGCCACCATGCCCAGCCACACCTGGCTAATTTTTGTGTATTTAGTAGAGATGGGGTTTTACCATGTAGGCCAGGCTGGTCTTGAACTCCTAATCTCAAGTGATCCACTGGCCATGGCCTCCCAAAGCGCTGGGATTACAGGTGTGAGCCACCATGCCTGGCCTCACTGCTTATAACAA